GCATTCCTGGCAGCGGTCTCACGTCAATCAGTCCTCGTACACCTGGACAACACGGCGGCCGTGTTCTACATAAACAAACAAGGTGGGGCCCAGTCGTCTTCTCTGTGTTGGGAGGCGTTACTGCTATGGGACTTGTGCATAAAGCACAAGATTTGTATCCAGGCGGAATACCTGCTGGGGTGCAAGAACTTGTTGACAGATGCCTTGAGCAGGTCTTTCGGAGCCCACAAGTGGGCACTGAAGGACAAGGTCCTAGCTCAGGTTTTCTGCAGGTAGGGCTATCCCCTAGTGGACCTCTTTGTCACGGCAGAGAACAGGAAGTGTCCTCGCTACTTCTCATTCCTGGGACTGGGCACTCACTCCAAAGGAGATGCCATGACTGTGTCTTGGCCACAAGGTCTCCTGTATGCATTTCTCCCATTCCCTCTGATCCCCAGGGTTCTGACCAGGGTCAAAATGTTCAGGTCCATGGTCATTCTGATAGCCCTGAGTTGGCCCAGACAGTTCTGGTTCCCCATTCTGGTGGAAATGGCGTGTGCAGAACCGATGGATCTCCCGATGGACCCAGATTTCCTGACCCAACCCTGGGATGGCGGGAAGCTAGTTCACCCGAAACTCAGGTCTCTCCACCTGACAGCGTGTCTTATCCGTGGCTAATGCAGCCAGAAAGGGAGTGTTCATGAGGGGTGCACCAGGAGGTCCTATGCAGCTAAGTGGAAGCAGTTCATGCTCTGGGCAGCAAAAAAGGGGCTGGAGCCATCACAAGCCTCTGTCCCGGTCATACTGGACTACCTGTTTGACCTGTGGTCTAACAGTCTATCGACCTCCTCCATCAAAGTGCACTTAGCCTCCCTCTCTGCCTTCCATGAGGGTTCTGCAGTCACATCTCTGTTCACGGACCCTGAGATTAAGAGGTTTCTGAAAGGTCTAGACAAGTTGTTTCCCTCTGTCAGGCCACCCATTCCTCAGTGGGACCTTAATCTGGTGCTCAAGAGGCTGATGTCACCTCCCTTTGAGCCGCTGGCCACCTGCTCTTTGAAGCATCTATCCTTCAAAGTGGCCTTTATTGTGTCCATTACCTCGGCATGCAGAGTCTCTGAACTGTGAGCTCTGATAATTGACCCTCCATATCTAGTGTTCTCAGCAAATAATGTCAGGCTCCGCCCTCACCCAGCCTTCCTCCCTAAAGTGGTATCGCCCTTCCACATGTCTCAGGAGATATACTTACCTGTGTTCTACCTGAAGCCTCACAGCTCCCCTAAGGAGCAAGTACTGCATTCCCTGGACGCTAAACATGTGTTACCCTTTTACATTGATAGAACAAAGCCCTTTCGCAAATCCCCACAATTGTTTATTGCATTTGTTGACAGGATGAAGGGGCTTCCTATCTCAACCCAGAGATTATCCCGCTGGGTCTCCGCATGTATTAGGGAGTGTTACAGCTTAGCACGCAGGGACCCGCCTTGGGTTACAGCGCATTCTACCAGGGCACACATGTCCTCGGTGGCTTTTGGGGCACAGGTTCCTATTCTTGAAATCTGCAGGGCGGTCACGTGGTCCTCTGTCCACACATTCACGACTCATTATGCACTTGCCCAGCAGGCTAGGGAAGATGCCGAACTGGGTACTGCAGTCCTCAGGTCCGTGCTGTAACTGTAACACATAGATTCATCTGTTATTTGCCTGTTGCACATTAGTTGAATAAATTCTTCTATTGTTTGTTTCATCGCGTGCCTATGTATCTTTATCCGTGTGCTCCGACCCCTCCTTCATGGGGGTCCAGCTTGGGAGTCACCTTGTTCGAATTGACATGAGCAACCACTCGAAGAAAAGAATGGTTACTTATCTGTAACGGTTATTCTTTGAGATGTGTTGCTCATGTCCATTAGATTCCCCCCCCCCAACTCTCCTTCGTCGGAGCGTCCGGCAAGAAGGAACTGAGGTGGGGGAGCGCCAGCAGGGATACTTATGCTCTGCTATAGTGGCGCCACTCCAGGGGGTGACCTGCTGGCACTACAGGTACCGCTACGGAAAACGCTCCAGAAGAAACCGTGCACGCGGCATGCACACTTTATTCGATTGGACATGAGCAACACATCTCGAAGAACAACAGTTAAAGGTAAGTAACCGTTCTTTTTCTCCTCACCAAATTTACAGAGTGCTTATAGGTATTAATACTAAAATATCAACCTGCCTAGTGATTGAAGTTGCTCTATTTCTCCAAGGGTGTGTCTACACTGCAGTGTTATTTCAAGATAACCAGCATTATTTTGAAATAACAATGCCAACATCTACACAAATGTTTCTTAAACTTTTTAATACCGAGGAACACCAAACAATAATTTTTTTTATGGGGAACACCAAGGATTTTTTTTGAGAGAAAAAAAGTTAGCTGGGGAAGAGCTGGGGGAAAAATTATTGAGAAAATAAAAGATCGCCGGAAAGTTATTGAGGGGAAAAAAAGGTCGCCCACCTCTTTATGTGCAGACATTTTGAATTCTGTTATCATTGGCAGACCTCCGACTGCCTCATGGCACACCGCTGTGCCACAGAACACAGTTGAGGAAACACTGACCTACACACTTATTACTTCATGAATATTTTACTTCTAATCCCTTTGCATCTTCTTGTGCCCGACAGTGAAATGACTCCTCAATTTAAACATGTACGGAATCGTATACAACTTTTGGAAGAACACTGCAGGTAAGCAGGGTGGGTAAAGCCTCAATGACAGTGTCAAATATTTTGATTCCTTCTAAAATTCCTACTACACAAAAGAAATTCTAAACACACTTGAAAATTATTTTCTCCTCACCAAATTTACAGAAAGCTCATGGATATTAATACTAAAATATCAACCTGCCTGGTGATTGGAGTAGCTCTATTTCTCTGAGGCTGTGTCTATACTGCACTGTTATTTTGAGATGACTAGCGTTATTTTGAAATAACAATGCCAGAATCTTCACCAGAGTTTCTTAACTTTTTAATACCGAGGAACACCAAACAATATTTTTTTTTAAGAGGAACACCATGGATTTTATGTTGAGAAAGAAAATAGTTGGTTGGGGGAATGACTGGGGGAAAAATTATTGAGAAAAAAAAAGGTTGTGAGAAAGTTATTGAGGGAAAAAAAAAGTTGTCTGCTGCTTTATGAACAGCCATCTTGAATTCTGTTCTCCTTGTCAAACCTGCAACTGCCTCGTGGCACACCGGTGTGCCACGGAACACAGTTTAAGAAACACTGATCTACACACTTATTACTTCATGAATATTTTAATTCTAATCCCTTTGCAACTTCTTGTGCCCGACAGTGAAATGACTCCTCAATTTAAACATGTATGGAAACATGTACTGCTTTTGGAAGAACACTGCAGGTAAGTGGGGTGGGTGAAGCTTCAATGACAATGTGAAATATTTTGATGCCTTCTAAAATTCCTACCATACAAAAGAAATTCTAAGCACACTTGAAAATTATTTTCTCCACACAAAATTTAGAGAGTGCTTATGGGTATTAATACCAAAATATCAACCTTCCTAGGGTATGTCTACACTACAAAGTTAGTTCGAACTAACGGACATTAGTTCAAACTAACTTTCATAGGAGCTACACTAGCGTTCTGTTAGTTCGAATTTAATTCGAACTAACGGAGCGCTTAGTTCGAACTAGGTAATCCTCATTCCACGAGGATTAAGCCTAGTTCGAATTTAATAGTTCTAATTAAGGGCTGTATAGACCCCTAATTCGAAATAGTGGGAGGCTAGCCCTCCCTAGGTTTCCCTGGTGGCCACTCTGGCCAACACCAGGGAAACTCTTCTGCCCCCCTCCCGGCCCCGGACCCCTTAAAGGGGCACGGGCTGGCTACGGTGCCCGTGCCAGGTGCAAGCCTGGCAGCACCCAGCCAGCAGACCCCGCACCTGGCACGGCACGAACCAGCCACCCGCTGCCACCCAGCCCTCCGCCTCTTCCCGGGACCAGGCTGGCGGCTCCC